TATATTTCTCAGCGTACCCCAACTGAGATCTATCATCGGCGCTTTGAAGTTTTTGGGGGAAGGGTATAAAATACGAGACATTATTCTAGCACTTACATTAAGCGCAGCATGTCAGGAATAAGAATAGCTCATTATGCTTCAATAATTTACCATTTTTACTTAGGAAAAATGTGATTTTAGTATGACATAATACTTGTAGGCAGTAAAAGAACGGTTCCACTTGATAATGCTGTTTTGTTTGCATTTGTTTTATTGGCTGAAATGGTTAATACAAGAACGGAAGGCTATAATCAGTTAGAAATCTGTTTGCCCCCATGGTGTTGTTAATTTTCACTGCCTGGAGCCATGATGATAAATTGGTTTTTATGTATTATCCAATATTTTAGCTAAATGCTTAAATATGCACTTGATATTTTGAAGAAAAACATAAACGTCTGAAAGACTGACTTGGAATGTTATTTTCGTATGAAAATCTTAAATAATGTTTTCATGCAGACAGAGTAAAGAAAAAAAGAGTTTACATTAAATTTCTTAGCATCTATTTTATGTACGTTTTGAAAAAAGAGGTTTTTTTTTTATTTTGATAAAAGGTGCAAAATATTGACGTGGAGTACAAATTATGATAACAATAGATATAGTTCTGAGAAATTCATTTCTACTTGAATTATCATGAGTTATAACACAAATGTTGCCACCAATAATTTACAACAAAAATTAATATGTATAACTTATCTGTATATTATGCGTGAATGACAAAGGCTGACAGAAATAATTAACAATGAGGTAAACATTTGTAATTGTCAGCGGTGTGCGACAAGGGGTTTCCGCCGCTCCGACTCTGTCTTTAAGAAACGCATTTAGCATCGGATGCTGCGTCGCCATATATTTTATAAAGTTTTTTTACTTCTTTAAAATATTCCAAATTTTATAAAATATTTCCATTTTTTGCTTGAATAATGCGCTGTCGTAGTTTATGTGTTTTTCATGCACCCTTGACACTATCAGTCGAGTTCACATCTTCACTCTTCCATTTCTTCCCATTATGTTACTATTTTTTTAAACAAAGGCGTTCGTTCGGATCACCATAAATCTGGCCAGTTGACAGACAGTAATTAAGTAAATGTTAATTTTACATTAGGAAGAGGCAGTTTTGTGCTGTACAAGTCGCCATGGAAACTATAACATGTCATTTCCAGGAAACGGAAACACTAAATCATGCCAAGTTTTAAAGTTTTCTGGTTTCAGCGTTAAAAACGGAAAATATGGCGCATAGAGGTTCCAATAAATTTAATTCGAAAGGAGAAAGTTATAAAACGGACAAAGAATAGCTCTAGAACACGCAAACCAATGCCAAATATAGCAATAAGGATAAAGATGTGTTTCTTAGATAAGAATCACAATTTTTTGTTTCGTTATAATATACCTTTATATTTATATTAATCAATTTAATTCTGAACCCTCGCATTACTGGCACTGGTTTATTTTTTTTTGTAAAACATCTGCTGGATATTGTCAACAGTTTAAGTACATGTGCATACAATTTTAAACACTATCATTATAAATAGAAAAGAAAGACAAAATACAATATCCAATTTGCAGCTTTCCCCCAAACCCCTGTTCCTAACACCCCCTGTCTAGAATTTCCTCCAGGAAGACTCAAGTCTCCTGGGAACGTTTTCCGTGACAACACTTGTAATTTTCTTTAACAGTTATTGACTGCTGGAAAGACCCTGTAACTGAATTTCCCGAGCGTTCATTACGGGAACACGGAGTAACATGTAATTCCCGTCATTTGTTCACGTCAAGCCATTTCCTTCCTGAAACGTTACAATGGATGGCATCCGATTGTGGAACAGCGTTATTGATTGATCGATGTGCATGCTAATAGTCACTCTTAAATCTTAGATTAACTAATATAAACAAGCACGAGTCATACGTGACAGTACCTTCAAATGGAGTCTATTTTTAGAATATTCCATTTCATCGAATAGAACCGAAAATTATAAAAACGAAAACGCATACAAAATTATACCGGAAACATAGTTACAAATGAACTTTACATTTTTACATTGATATGCCTGAGCGGAGAACAATCATCAGTCATACACTAACGTTATCTTTAATAGGATGGGGTTATTTATTTATAAAGGCGAATTTTGTTTTGCTAAGTCATGTATACAGTTATCTCTTTATCACCGACCAATTAACCTTCTAGACCAGCAAAGGTTAAGTAGGCATGGGCACCTTTCCTGATATTTCCTCCACCCACTTTGTGTGTGGCAATTTAACTCGAGTTTTGGCCTCTTTCAGTGCTTTACCATCCAACATGTAATTAAAATTCTTTGTAATCCGACAGTCTTATAATCATGTAACTTAAATCTTTAATGTGTTTTCTTCTTTGTCTCGATTTAATGAAGTGATAAGAAGGTGTATATCTTTTCTCCAGTTTTCGGCGCTTTGTGGTCATAATAGATCGATCGCCGTCAATAAACGCTCGTTTCTCTTAACACGATTTATGACCCGTTCCGCGGTTATGTTCTACACATCATAGGACTTAGGTTTTAAATTTTCAATATTTCTATTCAACGATGAAAAATAATTGTTCTTTTTGTAATATATGACGGCTTTGCTTTATCTTTCATCTATGGTCATAAAATATAAATTTAAATACATGATATGTTCTCCTGACGTCTAGTTACCATGGGAGCTTGATTGATCACGTGCGTTTAGTAAAACATGTTTTAGTATGACTGATAAAGTTAAAACATTAATGTGGAAGAACTACTTTGATTATTTTAAGCAAAAGAAATTTAACTTTAAATGGAATAATAAGACATGTTTACGTACATTAGCTCAATCATCAACAAACGGTGTGCAAACAGCAAAATGCATAAAATTTGTTGCTCGTAGAATTCACTCTTTTTCCTTTGAAAAGAATTGTACTATGTTTGCAATGTATATTTTTACATGCATCCAGTATGTAGAGGTATTAACCGGAAATTGGCAGAATTCATACAAAACATTAGCCGTCCAAGCCTTGCAGATGGCCCAGCATTTATTTATTTTTGGCCAGAATAAATCTAGAACATTGTAGCTTTTCTTGCAATGTAATATCCATTTATATTTTATCTAAACGACGTTTAATGTAATTGTTTCTTGTTTATTTACAGTAGGAAAAATTACGATTGTTATACATTTAGTTATAAATAAAAGAGAAATATAAAGTTCGTTTATCTCATTTTTTCTCATCTTAAATTTTCACATTAGGAACTCCATCATAACAAAACTAATTACATTGTTATGACGTGTCCATTTTTCATCCATCTACACTGGTTATATGTTTCTGACATCAAATTCACTTTATTTCTCCACTTTGACAACCAATCATCTTCCGTTGGCAAAACTGTCGTTTTCGCTTTTATCACATGGCGCCTGAAAGACTTGTGTATGTCGTCTGCTAGCCTTTGAGGGATTGTTTGAAATATTGGAGGAGAATAACCATTTATTCCAGTTAACATTCTTTTCTCATCATTTTGAATATTTATTTTTTTCTTGTTAAATTGATAAAAAAGTTCTTTTTAAGGAAAAGAGAAAACTGAATTTCTCCGATTTTTAAAGACAATCAGACCTAGCGTCAGATACAGTGATATTTGTAAACTATAACTTGTAGTACCTATTATTCATCAAGTGAAATAATTACTTAATAGACTAAAAAATAAGTTTAATTTCTGGTTAAAATTGTTTCGTCGACAATCATTTTAGAACAATAAGTCATTCGAATTTTGAAACGATGAATTCATACTCGTTTTTTTTTTTCTTCTTCTTTTCTCTGTTATTAAAGCTACAACTTTATCAAATTAATATTATTTTCTTCCGTTCATTTTTTTAATGTTTCTGGATGAGATAAAAGTAGCCGTATTCTATTTAACTTAATATGTTACGCAATTATTAATTTACTTGACATTTTATGTTATTATTTTTTGTGTAAAACTATTCCCCTTTATGTGCGACACTGTAAAACAGTAAAAATATTTTTTTTCTATAAAAGCAAAAATAGAAATTAAATGAAACAACGTTTTGATCGCAGTGACATGTAGTTGCAATAGAGCGCGAGAAAATAAATTCTCACTTTCTGTTTTTTATATGTCGTCAGCTAAATGGGTGATCTAAAGAAGGCAATCCCTATGCGAAATAAAACACATTCAGTTTTACACGATACCTATAAACTTGTCATCATAAACAGGAGATTTTGACAGGAACGCTATAACATGTCACAGTCCAGCGGTCCCGTCACGTTCTTTTAATGTCGTCTGCAAAATTTCAAAGTAATATTTTTCTGTTTAATGGAGGTCTCCTTTAAAGTTAATACCCCAAAAGGGGAATAATTATCTATATTAATACTTGTTCTCCATTTATTATCAATTTTAGTTATTTTATAACCAGTTTATGAATAAGCCATATGCAGCTCTGATGTAGGGCAGGGGGTTGATTTGATCCGTACATTTTTTATAAGTTTTCGCCTGAGCAAAAAAGCTTTTTATCCTAATTGGTAATGATAAAAATACCGTATTTTTATGTCCTTCTGCAAAGATATAATAACAACAATCGCTTTTAGATCATTCTTTGATGTATGGCTGTTCTTTCAGGGTGAAATATTATTAATTATATCAATATATTAATTTTTAGACAATTAAATTTATGAATTAATCATGTACCTTTTTTTAAAAAAAGTATCTTTTTCATGTGAAGCATAAATCTTAAAATAGATATATGATCAAACCGGATTCGGGAACTACTTTCTGTAATTGCCCGTGTGATATCAAAAAAAAAAACTTTTGAAGTAAGGAAAGGTGCATTTTCACAGTAATAAAAAATAAATTAAATTGTTTACAGTCATTATTAAAAGAAAAGAAAAACATTTTAAGTCCCAAATGTATTCCAATTATTTTCTCTTCTAGGGAGGCTTCAATAAATATCATTCAATAAATAACAACTTTTGATTTTATTGATAATTTATTTTATGCTTATTTAAATAAATTATTCAGTATCAACAAATATATATGTCTTTAAAATCCACAACGATTTTCTACTATATTGAGAGTTATTACAGAAAATGATACAAATTTAATTTAATATCATCGTCACACAGTTACATTGCAATAATATTATTATAAAAAGAACTCGGGAGTCCCCTGGACACACCTATCTTCTATTTCATTAACAAAATATTCACATATATAAACAATTATGCCAATTATCTAATTTTATTGAATTGTATGCAATTGAAATAAATTACAATAAATATACTGGAGACTGTTTTTAAATTCCAGGAATAGCACATTAGAAAAAGCACTTTTAAAACAAACAGAATTTATTTATGAGCGTTTATCACAAATTGAGCGTTTAAAAATCTCTACTGTTAAGGCACAGCTGCCGCCCCTATTCTTTGGGCATATAAACTATATGGTGAATAGTAAGGTCCAAGTGATGACAACGATTGCTGAGAAGGAATTCCAGTTGGCATATTAGACAACGCCGGTTTGTAGGGATGATAGCGATTAGAAAGTGCACTTCCGCTCAGCGGACTGATACTTGTTGGATACATTCTTCTCAATGTCTCTGGGCTTATATTTCCACTGGAGCCCAAATATCCTGAAAGTCCAGGAGGTAAGTCTGAGGGTGTGGGTATTGATAACCCAAGGGAGCCATAGGCACTTAGTGCAGATTCCCCACCGGAAGTGTGTGTCCTTAAATGTTGTAATAATTCCTCTGACGAATTAAAACGTTTACCACAATAGTCACTACCCATCATCCAGTTACATACATGCTGTTGACCTTGTTGTGTCAAAAGATTTTGAGCATACAAATTATGTAAATGGGTAAGTCCAACAGCAGCTGACGAAGGCACACTGAATGGTGAATGTAAATGATTCGACCCTGGAAGGCCGAACATACCTAATCCTTGTAATGCCTTTTCATGTGAACACTGAGCACAACCGGGAGAAGAACACTGAGATAAATGTGAATTTTGAGATGCTGCAGAAACACAGTTTGTACAGTAAGGATCCTTGCATGCTGATGGCGCTGTCGGATTTCTCATTCTAGCATACTGCATGTATTGAGATAAAGCCGCTGAGGACCCGGACTTTAAAGCTGCTTGGTGGGCAGCTAGAGCATGCGCAGAGGCAAGACTGTAGCTAGTATGTCCTTGAAGACCATACGGGTAGCCAGCAGCAACTAAAGTCTCTACTGACGGCTGCATTCCCCCTGGAAATGGAATATTTGGTAAACTAAACGGCCCATATGGTAATCCTTGGTATAACGAATGTTGGTGTTTAGCGTCTTGATATGGAGAACTGTCTCGTCTTATTGGCGAATCCGACCTTTGACTCTTTGCTGGCGGAGAATATTTTGAATCATGCAATTCCTTTGTATGTTCATTTGTTTTAGGTCGGGGGCTTGCCCTGTCAATATTTGGTTTTAATCCAGACGCCGATGAGGACGATGACCTAGGTCTTGTTATGACCTGTGGTGATTTTCTTTCATTGTCATTGTATTTTCCCTCGTCCTTTGTTTTATGAGAGTCCGTCTGACATTTTTCCGGTTTCGGACTCGAGGTTGAGATTGGGTAAAAATTTGAAATACCCTTCGTGTCATTTCGACTTGTACGTTGAGTGTTCGAAGAATTGCGACCATCTTTTTCTGCTAAGGGGGTTGTTGCTTTACTATCAGGTTCACTTCCAACGGGAGACACTTTTCCCACTGACTCTTTCCTTTCAAGCGGCGGTATGATCGACTTGGATGGAGGATCCTTTCCAATACTACTACAAGTTTGCGCAAGAAGTGCAAGGGGGCTATTTTTAGCGTCAAGCTGAAAAAAGATAAAGTACATCATTTCAGTTGACAGTACAATATAAACTCGTTAAAAAAACTTATATTATCTATATCTCCCGGAAACAGATGGTTTGAAACAAGTGCGTGTAGACATTTTCTAAGTACCTGCTGTTGCGTGATTTTACATTTCGAAAGTGTCAAAATGTTAAGAGCTAACTAAATGAAGCAACAAGTTATTGAAACAAATGAGTCTATATCTAATCAAGATTCATCTTCGAATAAAAAGAAACCCATCCAATGACTGGCAATGAAGGATATTCTCTGTCTAAATTGTCAATTACATTACAACAAGTCTCTCTTTTCTCATCATCCATTGAAATTCAGCATGTTTCATCGTCAGAGTTATAGAATCTCGTTTTTCAGTCAATATTGAGAATCTAATTTGTCCCTAATTTGTTTGGACTTGTACCGTAAGTACGTATTGATTTAGATTTTCTCTTTTCCGATATAGCTCTATAAACAACGATACAGAGCGGTGCGGCAGTCGTTAAAGGGGTGACTTTGTTATCAGACTGGGAAACTTCTAAATAATTTGACAATAAACTTGAATCTTGTCTAGAGACTACATTTGTGATTTAATATAACCATGTGAGATATCTTTTATAGAATAAACACCCATTTTAAGTCAGTTCCAGACACGGCTCAGAAATGAAAAAGGCAAAAAGGTAAGGGTTAAGCGACCTATTTCGATGTTAATACTAGTATGCTGATTACCATTAGTTAAATGCATCTTAAAACTTAAAACTGGGTTAATAAATGTCTAAATGTTACTCACTGTTGTTGGAAGGGGCTGTAAGTAATCCGGCGGCAAGTACTGTGAAGCCGACGACGACAACATTTTCATTGATTCGTATCGATCCATAACTGGCATTTTGTCACAAACACATATATATCCAAATCTTTTGTATAATCAAGTCCAAAACTTTAACTAAATTTCATATCTCAAAACAAACGCTGTGTTGAGAAGTGTATTACACAAAATGGCGTTATATTATAATAGCTGACAGCTTTGATAGAAGTTATGTATCACCGAGACAGAAACAGCTGTCAATCAAACTACGATCCTTTTCTTTTGAGATTTTCTTCGCTATGCCGCCCATATAGTCACTATTTCAAACACACTCAACATTGTACATAGCGCATTTACGCAGGAAGGATGTACTTCCGACAAGCGAGCAATATGTTTGTGACAACCCTTTCTATTGGATAATAGAGCAAAACTTCAGCTAATGGGAGGCGGAGACATAAGGCGGTCTTATTTACCCAATCAAATGATTCGATAGTGAATATGACCGCTCTTAGTCAGCCGTGTTATAATAAAGCATCATTAATCTTTTCAAAAGCTCTTCTGTCAATCAGAACTAATTTATACGATGGTTTTGCGATGATGTAGTTGCAATAAATATAAAAATGAAAAGATAAATGTCGGTTGAAGTGACAATAGGCGACTTAAACATAGCAGGGACAAAACACATCCAGGAAAAAATCTTATTATATGACGGTATTGTTGCATGTTTACTTTTAAGGAGAAGAACAACATTGAGAAATAGGACAAAAAATATACCTTTAGTCCTGTTGGGTCCAGCACACTTTGATATGACTAAATCACACGGCGATATAGTTGACAAGAAGTCTGAATTTCTTTAAAACTCTTAACTCGCCCTTAGCATGAAAGATTTATAGAGTTAAAAACGACAAGAAAAGTGACTTTTAAATGAGAAACATTTGTACCAGATCTTGCCAGTTCTAATCTTAATGATTCCAGTCTTTGCTTGGCGCCCCCTTGTGACCGTGAACAACTTAATGCACCAGTTCTTCTAGTCTTTGAGATGACCAGTAAACTTTTAACGGTCAATTAAAGACAATAGCCGTTTAATGGTTTGATAAAGCTTAAATTTAAATAACTTGATAACCCCAACGACGATGCTGCCCAGATACGTGTGTAAAGTCGGCATTTTTTTTTCAAAGAAAAGCAATTATCAGATACCTTTTTCACTTGAAACGCGTTGCAAAACTTTCAAAAACCAAGGGCGGCATACTTGCTTTACGGATATGTATCAATCACTCTGGTTAGTGTAAAGGTGTTTATGTAGAGATTAAGATTGACGTGTCGAAAGGCTTCCTGTCTTAAGTTTGACAGATTGAACAATTAAGCGGTAACTTCAAAAGAAACCGGCAATATTCTTATCAGTAATGGTAAATACCTCGTGTAATTCTATCTTAGAAGAGCGGAATGAACAATCACGAGCCTCGGGAAAATGTTGTAAAGGGCGGCGAAGAGCGGGGTCAGGTTACACATGTAAATTCACAGAAAAAATAAGAACATATTTATGTATTATGCAAAAATGACAAGGCGCAAATAGTAGTACATTAGCGATTTTAATAGAATGTAATGACTGTTGGGCTGAGATTATTTTTCTATTAATTTAATTTGAGACACTTTGTTCTGCATGATTTCTAGTCAAGCAAATATTGAAAAAAATAATGTTCTTTTTAAGTATTTATTATAATATTAAATATCACTGATAAAAAGCACTTTTGTTAACATGAAGACAATATAAGACAAAAATTACACTTACGCTACATTTCATAATTTTTTAATAAAAAAATTATTACAAGTAAATTACACACATTTTTTGCTGTTGGCGGTATATTAAAAGAAAGGAGTAATTTTAACCAAAAAGAAAGAGTTTTTTTCTAAAACCATTTGCCAACAATTGAACATAATTAAACATTTAGTTAATTTCCATTATATATATAATGCACAAGAACGATGTCAAGACTAAATTACCTTGACATTACTTGCAGTATTTGCCATCGCTTTAATACATGTAATATATCACAGTTTAGAAAAAAAAAGTTGTATTCAAAAGTTACCAATGTGAAAGAGGCAACGAAATTGCCTGAATCCATACAGATTTTATGAATAATTTTACGATTTGTGCACATTTTAGTGATCGATTTAACACGGCTGTCAGTTTTGTGTCTCGGATGGTTAACAGGCCGGAATAAGATGCTGTGGAATTTAATAAGGCGACCAGTGCTTGCTATTGTCAAATTAATAGAATACATTTGAGCAGTCTCAAAGACTATAATTCAATGATTGACGTGCATGCTGGGCCGGTAGAAACCGATTATTGGAGTGTATGTAAGTGTCAAGAGAGAAAATAGCGATCAGTGACTGAAGCTGTAAGCGTATGTCACATGGCCGACACTGATCAAAGCAAGGCGGCAGGGGGTTGACGGGCATTTGCGCAACTCATTATACTCCATTTAACTTGCCTGTCAGTCACTTACTGTTCCAATGAATGCAAGGAAACACCAGCAAAAAACAGAGAAATAACGAGTAACATGGTGATTTTCTCTCGAAGTTTTGAACCATCCTAAACACGCTGGGTCGCTGAATCATACATAATCTAAATTCGTGATCGGACTTAATGAAATAAGTTGTTAATATATCAATTTTTGACATTTTAATGGGTGGTATAAGAGAACATGAAATGGTTTTAAAATTATCAAAATAAGTGTGTGTTTTTTCTCCTCTGTCTGCATAATTTGGGCCATTGGGGACATTTTACTGCAAGTGAACTCGGATAATCACGTGTCACCCTGACCACTGTACTTGATTATAAAGTCAAATGTCTACTTGTTATTCAAAGTTACATTTAAACCGGGGAAAGTCAAATTCATTGAAGAAGTAAAATTATAATTTATTTCCGACACCTGTCACTGTAAACAAGCAAACATGAGCACTCCGTCTCCAAAACACAATCTATTAGACAAACTCTCTTTGAAGCGGCTTTGTATTTTACAGAACTACTAATTCTGGCTTAAACCTATGTTTACACTTATGCCCTTTGATGTTAAAAGACTATAAAGCAGCGGCATATACACACGGAGATCAAAAATCCATTTTCTTGGGTGAAAAGTTTCGTGAAACTGCGCACAAAAGATATCCGTTTGGCAAATGGATATGATTTAGCCAGCCGCCCACCTTGTGTGTGTAACTGGGGCTGAAAAACACATTAACAAAGCTATCAATCATGATCAAAGAAACGCTTGAAGCTGTCAATCATTACTTTTAGACTTTGAAAAGTAGTCCCTCATTAAAATGGTTCTGTTCACAACCTTCGGAGAATGTAGCATTTACTTTGCCTAGCTCTTATAATACAATGCTATATATTTACATAGTTTCGAATATATTCGTGTAAACAAACAGTTATATTTCCATTTAGTTGAAAATTAATTTACTATTCAAAGAACACCTTCTTGTGTAACTATGAAATATATTTGGAAAGAAAGTAATTTTTATAGTTATCTAGTGAACAGTGGAAGTATACTAAAATAGAAAAAAGAGTCCCTAAATAACGCAAAATATGGTAATGTCTATCAGTCTTTAACATTAATTGTTTCTATACAGTTCTTTTACATTTATGCTCTTTAAACTATATCATGTTCATATTGTAACTGTTGAATGTAAGCATTTTGTTTTAATTGTTTTTATTAAAATCATGTTATATTCATACTGTTTACAATAGATTGTTTTCATTTAAGTTGTTTTATTTATACATCTTACAATGCATTTTGTAACTTAAGAAATGTGCTATCTTACTTCTTACAACAATCAATCAAGAAATGTTCCGTTTTTCTCCTTACAATATATTGTTTAAATTCAAGTTCTTTTCCATTTATACCCCTTACAATACATTGTTTTCATTCCAGTTCTGTCTCCAATTTATATCCCTTACAATACATTGTTTTCATTCAAGTTCTGTTCAATTTATACCCCTTACAATACATTGTTTTCATTCAAGTTCTGTTCAATTTATACCCCTTACAATACATTGTTTTCATTCAAGTTCTGTTCAATTTATACCCCTTACAATACATTGTTTTCATTCAAGTTCTGTTCAATTTATACCACTTACAATACATCGTTTTCATTTCAGATATGTTATATCTGTACTCTTTTCATTCAAATCATATATACATATATATTGTTTTACAAGACATTAATTTCAACCTTTTTATCGTTAGAATGCTTCTACCATTTCATTGTTTTCATACAGTTCTATCATACTAATGTTTTAAACCTTTTTAATACATATTGATTTCATACAAATTCTGTCTTTATGACTTAATACTGCATTGCTTTTATTCAAGTTCTCTTCCATTTATGTCATACAGCATTGTCTTCATACAAGTTTTATTTTATTTGTGCTCTTTACAATACATTGTTTTCATATTTGTTATCGTCCTCTTTCATATTAAAGGAACTCCACCGAGGTCCAAAAAGCCTAAAAACATAAAAATTGAATTTCTTACAAAGATCAGTTGATACGCTTAAAACAGAAATATATGCAAAAGATAATTAAGAAATTTACTCAGAATTAAATTGAAAATCTTATCTGTGCTATTATAAGCCCGATTTTAGTGAAAAGCGTCGAAACGTTTTTCATTTTTGGTCATTCTCCGCAGTGAGAATGATTATTTTGGGGAAAAAAAACAGAGTGAGCGAATGTTTTGGAATACGTACAAAGAGGTTTAGGGTTTAATGAATCATTTCCATAAATGTTGTATTAGTACATTATAATGTTTCATTGATTGTACAATTAACAATGCCCTTTATTGCATAGTTTATGTAAATGGCGTATGAATGCAATTCTTCAACATAAATCATTTTTCTATTGGCACTGTGCTTTATAGCATATTGTTTTTTTTTAGACTTTCGTTGTCTTGCACGTTGAATGAATACATAGAATGTCCACATACAGTGTTGTATTTGTTTAAATACAAATAAAATGTATGTTTTTGTTAATATGTTATGAATATATTGGTAGCCATGCTCCATCTGTATAGATGCGTCATATATTTTCTTACAATACTCGTACAGTGCCTATTCAAATATATTATGCAGGCATACTACAATTATACAATATATCGTTAAATACTGTTTTAATTAAAATGTATTGCTTAGGGATTGGTTGCTTGTTACATTGGTTATATCGTCAGTTCATTAGTATACCAGCAACCGGTTTCTTGTCCTTTTTGTGGCTGAGGGGTTTCCTTTAAGGGTTGAGACATCAGAATTGCAGCTTTATCCCTGGCATTTGGAACA